TTGCCCATTTTTTCACTGAACAGAGAGGAGTATTTTATAAATTTCTTTTAATAAATGAACCATTTTGCATTATTTTTTTCATATATTAACATACTTTAAAATGAAATGTAGCAAATCAAAAAATCCAGAAAACAGTCTCTAACTTTAGATACTTACACCTTGTACAAACAAATTTAACAGCAGCTTGTTTGGAACGTCAGAAAAAGCAGACACAGAAAATATTATGTTCCATCCTGGATCAATGTATTCCTTTGATTAGCCTCATAAATTAATTTATGTCTGAGGTTCTAAATATTTCTGACCTGAACCAGTGGGTTTTTCTCTCTAAGTTTTCAGGTGCCCTCTGAAATATGTATTTTTGCAGGAGATATTGACTTGAAGCTACAGAAAACCTCAGCTTGCTTTCAGCTCTTCTGATTCACCTGCCTTAAACACATATCCACTCCCAAAGATAGATAAAAGACATTCACCTGTCCTGGGACTGTCTAATTCAACTGTTTAACCTCCAGGAACAATAGCAGAACTGAAAACCTTTATAAGGGAGCTTTTTACTTTTTTTGTTACGAAGTCAAGAACATCAGGGTGTTACAGACCTCCATAAATAATAAAATCTTCAATGCATTTTCTCCAAACCCTAATTATCTGTTAACGTGGCTGGTGTCCTTCGACTAAGAAATTCTCCTTTCCTTAACGTTTGTCTGACTTTTTTCTTTCTATAGGGAGAGAGTAGTCTCCTTCTCAGGAAGGTAATGCCCTTTATCCATTTTAACCTTCTCAACTTAGCTACAGGAATCCCAGGCTCCAGTCTCCCTTCTCACTCCCTGGAAAGCAATTCATTTACTGATCATACTTGCAGGGAATGATTCAAATCCAATGGTCCTACCAAAATAAAGTCTTGCATTTCAGTAAGTAAGAAATCTTTCAATGTTCCTGTTCAAATTTTACATTAAAACACTCTTACTACGAAGTCAGCTTGCAAAATGGTATCTGCAAAAGAAGACTGAGGTTCATTATTTTATACAAGTACCTGCAGTCCTGTCACTTTCATACTACACAATGTTAAGAAGGGTTTGGGAAAAAAAAAAATTAAAAAAATTTTTTGCTATAATATGCAACAGTAAAGTACATACAAAGGGTCTACAAAATGGCTTAATTAAGCGTTTCACACACACAAAGCAAAATGACTTCAGATCATAAGAGAAGCTGATTATCTGCAAGGCAGTAGGAAGATTTCCACTCATGCTGCAACTCCCACTCATTTGACCAGACACAGAAGACCTATGGAAAAATGGAATCCAAAATGTCAGAAACTCATAGTTGTTATCTTGCATACTGATCAGGACAGGAGGTGCTACTTTACTATCTCTTCTCATAAAAGAAATTTCATATATTAGATAGAAGTCTCTATGTTATCCTAAATATACTAGCAAAATGCTTCGCTATCACGTTTGACAAAATAGTAATAATTATTATTATTAATTATTATTATTTCTACACTTCAAGTGTAGAATTAGGCTACTTTCCATGTCTTGATCAATTTGATAATTATAGCAAATTTCTAAGAGCTCACATTCAACTGAAGAGCCATGCATATTACATACACAGCCTAAATTTTCAGCAAATAAGAGATAAAAATGCAATAAAATCTCAAAAGAACTTTTAGCCAGTATGTTCTACTTCAGGTTTATAATTGTCTACTCAGTTTGTAATTCACCCCATGTAATTTCACACAATTTTTTTCTATTAATTCAATTTTTACTGTGTTTTCAGTCACACTATTTTAATATTAAGGGATTGTAGTTTAGATATTCCTTAGGGAACTATTCTCTATCCTTTCACTATAACGTGCATAGAACACTAAGCACAAGTCCTTTAAGCCCCCTTTCTGCACCTTTCACTTTCTGATTTCCTGTCAAGCACTCAAACAAACAGTAAGTCTCATTAATTTGATTTCTCATCTCCTTCTGGATATGTAATATATAGTAGATATATTAAATATAATAAATAGAACTGTTTAGTAGCTGAAGAGATTTTCTTTTCCCCACAGACGCTCATTCCTGTTCTTACAATGACTGCTCAGACCCTGGCAGAATACAAGCACAGGTATTTGTGCAACTGCATGATAAACTGCACTAGAAAACTGATCTGGGTTAAAAAAGTTCAGCAGCAGAAAAAGAGTAGTTAGGTTTACCACAGACTAACTCTCTTGCCACGCAGCTGAACAAAGAATTTTGCTAGTCTCTCTCATGGGGTGTCACACAAAATAGAAGCTTCCAGAGACACAGAGAGTAGGAACAACTTATTTGGCAGCAGTTTTGGCTTATGTCAGTTGAAAGCATATGTGAAATTGCAGTGTCACTTCAGAACTGTGGCTAGAGTTCAAGCGCAGAGTTGAACTCTGTTCCAAACCAAAGAACTGAGGTCAAATTTAATTCTCCTCTCTAAACAGTTACAGTGAACTAGCACTAAGCAAATCTCACAATTGGTACAACAAACTCACCAGGAATCAATCAAAAGAGTAAAACTTTTTAAAAGGACAAATACTACTCATAACTAATTCAAAAGACAATATAGTGTACAAGAGTACAGAAACAAACTGTTTTAATCAACCAAGCAGATTTATGACCTCATTGTTGTGGAAGAAGCTTGTTGAAATGTTCACACTTAAAATTACCCATGGCTTTCCATTACATAACTCTGTTCTAATTTGCTTTTAACCTGCCAAACAAAAATCATGTCATTTGTTCTGAAACGTGTCAGATACTACCTATAAAAAATTTGGAAAATAGTAAGTTTATTCATGTTAAAAAACTGTTACAGCACAGCTCTCTCATTATAGTCTCCACTCCTGCCAAATTCTGGAGAAGGAATTCCTTTTATGTACTCTAGAAAGGTCTTCTAGGAAACAAAAGGGAGGTTAGGACTAAGAAAAGGTTATATTTAAAAGTGTTGCTATCAGTTAGACAAGCTGTATTTCTAATGTGTGTTAGTAATTAATATAACATTAAAGTTTGCCTTGAGGGTTTTTCTCAGCAGCATGTGCTAGCAACTACTAAAACTGAAATTACTAAGGTTACCCGTGAAAAAGATTCCTATGGCTCTACCCAGGTCACTACTGCAAACAAAAGTCAATAATGTTACCATGGAGTAGTAAGAACATCACCATCTTTGGGCCAAAACAAGAAAAAAGTCCATGAACAGCATATATAAATACCATCATATTAAAATAAGCTTTCACATTAGGTCCTATTTCCATTATCAAATTAAAACAATGTTTTACTTAACAGTCAGAAACACTGAAAAAACTTGATTCTAGATGCTTCTGAAACTGCCACTGTCATTTGGTCAGAGCCGAAGAATAAAAGTCTAGGTTTTCTCCAATTTTAATCCTAACATAATTGAAAATGGTATTAGACATCAAAAGTGACATCCTAATGACTTTCCTTACAAACTGAAACCTAAGTTTAGCATGTCAAATTTATGACTATTCATCTAATTTAACATCTTTCTATTTGCATATTTGAAAGGAAAACATGAAACTTCCCTAATAATTATGTTTTTAAAGATCGGTATTTAACTTTACTGTTTCCTCATAATCACTTCCTCAGCAATTAATCCTAACTCTTTTTCTTTACGTAAAATTTCTAACAACAAAAGTGTTTAGAGACCCAGAATCACAATATGATAGGTCTATACAAGCACAAGAAAGATTGTCCTTACCTCACACTTCCAAATGCTGAGTCTTAACTTCCCTGTACTTAAGTGTTTGGGTTTTTTAAGACGGTGCATTAGAACTAAACATAGTATTCCTGCTGAAGTCATGCAACTTACTTACATAATGACATTATCAGATTTCAGTTCAAAGAGCAATTATGACATATTTAGCATTTGTCTACCCTTGAAGAAGTCTTGTTCATACAGTTTTACTAGTAGACTAAAAGCCTCACCTACACTAAGATTATAGAAATGCTGTGGCATACTCTCATTTTTTTGGCTTTTTCTTCTATTGTTGACATAACCTTTCTGATAAACCCTTGACATTCTTATCATAAAACCAATTTGCAATTTAGCAGCTGCAAAATAATTTCAAGATAAGATTGTTTTTAATCCCTTGGATATTTTAACAATTATTATGCTAAGTGCACATAAATTTGTCTTTCAGAGTCCTAATTTATATTGCCTCTTTCCTACATGTCTCTCCTCTATTTAAAAAAATCTGTTTCTGCATGAGACTGTAGACATTCACTTGAATTAAAAGTAGCCTAGTTTCTAAGGTTTAGAAAAAGCAACATTTTTATCTACCACCTTTTATAGAAATGCCATGGAAATGCCTAGTTTATTTAAACTTATCTAATTAAATCTTAATTAAAATCACTGCCTCCTACAAAAGCCAAAACATACTGGATTCTCTTGTCTAACCGTTACTCATTTGAGGTTTTCAGCTGCACAGACTGAGTGATCCAGTGTACATCGGTAAAATTTGTGTCTCAATGTGATGTCAAAAGCCAGATAGCATGCTTTCTGGTACAACCCACTTCAATAAAAATTAAACAAAGCAAATTTTAATAACTTATTTGCTAACAAAAGGAGTTAGGAATCCCAATAAACAATATAGGAGTCAGCTTACTGGAAGTTCTGATCACTACTGCATATGAAGATATAATAATTCTATCCTGTTATTGCGTGTTGATAAGGATTTGTCCTCAGGGCAGAATGTTAACATGTTTAATAGAAATGAATTACTCCTTCTAAGGTATTGCCACTATTCAAATTTATTTTGGCAGTGGAAAGTGTTAACACAGTTACTGAATTCACTTATAAAACCATTGAGAACAGAGCACTATACATACAGGAAAAACTAAAATTACCGTCTCTAGGTATCAACCATATGAGGTTTTATGCAGTTATTGAACACCATAAAAATCTTCAGCTGAGAGGCCTCAGCAAATAAATGGTACTGTTTTATATCCATGCAAGAGAAAGCTGTTAAGGTCACATACCGATTTCTTTTTAATGTCCTCCAGATCTTTGAGTTCATTCTCAATCTTTGTGATTAATTCCCTGAGTTCATCAAGATTAGTGCAAATAAGCTAAAAAACAAATGAACACAAACACTTGGTGATGGGGGACTTGGAAAACATACAATGAAGTTAAATAAAATGTAAAAGCACGGTATTACTTAATGCTACCATTTGATTTTTATTTTCTTATAGCATTTTTAAAAGTAAAAAAAAAAATGCAGGACTTGTGGAAAGCAAGAAAATTTAGTAAGAAAAAACTCTATTCTTCAGACATAAATCATATCTCTACCTGTAAGCTTCCATTTCAACATGCAGGTATTTTCTTAAAACTTCTGTGAATGTCAACTACCACATTTGTCTCAAGTGCAGTAATGAGTTGGAACATCTTTGAGTTCCAAACAGCTCCCTGGTGAATTAAAGTATACTAGCTTTGGAGTATTCTGTGCTTATAACATTTTGCTCTTGTTACAACTTTTTCCTGGACATAGTTTTATATGTTGACACAGAGTATTCCATTCTTGGAGGTGTTCAAGACACATTTGGACCTGGTGATATGGTTTAGTGGTTTAGGGGTTACAGTGGTAGTGCTGGGTGCTGGTTGGACTGGATGATCTTGGAGGACTCTTCCAACCTTGCTGATTTATGATACTAAGGTAACCTAGTTATCTATCAGATCTACCTATTTGTGTATGTTTTGGGAAAGTATTATATTCTTATTCCTGGTTTTTAAAATCAGTTTTTTACATTTCTCCTTTCAGAAAATGGATGCTATCTTCCTGAGAAAAACATAAAGCAAAAGTAATTTTTATATTTTGTCTTATCATCATTTAGGTCAGTTTAAGACTTCATAAACTGGTAATTTTTAAGGTGTTGGGTTCTTGTAGGTTATTCTATGTTAAGACTTGCTTTTTCTGAACACCCTTGGGTGAAAATCTTTTCACTATTACTGAAAATGTGTTAAAATAATTAAAGAAAATTAAAAAATTATAATAAACAACTGTGCGAAGCCCATCCCAGAAAAACTGTTATCATACAACTGCTAATTATTTTTCCCACATCAGTATTCATAACAATATAGTTTTACATCAAATTCATGTGCAGTTTTAGATTTGTAGCAAAGTCATATTAAAAAAACCCTTTGTTTCACTATTAAAACATAGAACTGACACTTTTTGCAAAATACATAAATTTTGGTAACCTCTAATGCATACATGCCATCGTATTCATAGCACTTGTGTACATTTGAAGCACTGAGGAACTGGAGTGACTCAAACTAAAGTTTACAGTTTTCACATTTATCAAGTTTAGAATAGCAAATTAATAATGACATTGGCACTGTCTTGCCATACACAATGTATGCAAAATTAACTTGCAAAAGGTATCTCTCTTAAGCCAGGAAATAGAATTACTACATGTAACTTTACTACGTTCAACATGCATGTCTGTCCTGCACTTAAAGAAGTCTTACATACATAAGATGTAAACTGAAGCCAAATACTGGCTTTTCTTTGCCAGTTTGGCCTGTGAAAAAAATCTATGATACTGTATTATTATGCAAAAAAGTGCAAGTATGTCACATAAAATCCTTGAAAAAAGTCAAAAAGGCATGGTTAAAGATTTTCCCTACACAATTATAATCCACTCTTTTGACTATATGCTTGAAAATTCACTTACTAAATATTATCACTACTTTTTATTTTCTTCTATGAGACTAATCCAAACTACATCAATGGGAAAAAATGCCAATATATTAGGTTTGGTTGTTTTGGGGCTGGGGATGACAGGCAAGAGTAATCAAATCTCTAAGTCCCAATTTGCATCAGAGGAGGTATATGTTTGAGGCTCATATCTGTGTGTCAACTACACACTGGTAAAACAAGGAAGATAACAGCAGCTAAGCTTGGAGGATTTATGGTCAAAATTAGTTTAGTATTTGAAATACCTCAGTACTGTACTGAAAACCATTATAAAAATGTTCAAGAAAAAAATTTATATTTTGTCATTCACAGTGTGATTTCAGATGAGGAAATAAAGATGCACACTGATTGGGAAGAAAGTATTTCTGAAACTTCTCTCACATGGTTAACATTTCCCACCTTACAGAACGAAGCCAGCGCTTTGAAAGGAAGATGAAAAGGACAGTAATAACAAAGTGTAGTGTATTTTGTATGATCATTTTGTTATGGAATCTAGATCATATTTCTCCTAATGAGATTCTTATTTATGTTTCATTGTTCTTTGCTCCTTGTTGTTGTAGCCAAAAAATTAAGTATTTTATTAGAAAGTGTTAGACATAGACTTTATGTATTTTAGACTAAGTATTTTAAAAGGACTTAAAGAACGACTTGGTGGAACTAAGCAATTCAATTTCCTGTGAACAACACTGCCTTTCTAAATTGTTCTATGTTTTAAATGGGTAAGTTAACATGAAGGCATGTACTGATGTTACAATCTAATCATTTTGTCACATTCTGATATGGCTGTTGAAAAATGTGCCTTCTAATCACCTGTCATAATCTCAGGAGAAAAAAAGTTTCCTTTATAAAATGCTAGGCATTATAAGTGTTAAAATTAAGTTGTACAATTAGTTCCTGAATATTTTTGTTAAAATATTTGATTTTAATGTATAATTTGTGTCACTGCACATATCAAAAGACTTATTAATACTAATTTACTCAAGTCATGATTTGGTATGGGATCTACACTTAAATACAGAACATAATCTTATAAAATAAAGTGTCTTCTGGTTGGTTTGGAGTTTTTTTCTACCTTTGTAGGCTGTAGGCACATGAAAAATATTATACATTTTTATTTATTAATTTTCATTCCAGAAGAACTGATGTTTAGATGAGAATAGGAATACACCTGTGGTTATATCCTCCCTGCATATCTTACACGGCCTGTATACACTTAAGCTGTTTCATCAAATATTTAAAAAATATACTTGTTACTTAACACAGTTACATAATTTCATAAAGTTTGGCTATCTGTGTATGTGGGAAAAGTATACTGAAGCATACATTACTAGATCCCAAAAGTCTTAATATTATTCCAAATATAAGTGTTTTAATATTTGCAAATACTTCTAGCAGTCATACCAATCCTGTTGGTCCTCTTGAAAAAGGCAGGTTAAGTTGTTAAAAAGTTCCCTCATAAGATTAAACTGCTCAATACTAATCAATCTGAGCCTCACTTAAACCAATATAACTCCTAGCTTTGATCAAAAGAGTCAGAAGTATTATGTTACATTTTAAGTTTTTACATAAATAAATATACACTTAGATAGATATGTAAATGCATGTACGTTTTACATTGATTAGCTAAAAGGCTGGGCTAAGTTTTAGACAGACTACTTAAATGCAGTAGTTTAATACTGTAATAAAAGGACTTCTAACCTAACTGTATATATCCATGGCATGCAGGTAATGTGCTTGGAAAAATAAAATTTTTAGACACTGTACCAATTTTTTGGAGCTGCTAGGGAACATTTTAGTCACTACTGTTACAATATAGACAAAAGACAGATTACACTTAAATGTCAGTCGCTTCTCAATATTGAGTGTTACTAACCAATTTTATCACCAGAAATTCTACTAGCTCCATCTGAAACACATAATCGTCATCAGCAGCACGGAATAAACTGATTTGGTGTGAATGTTTCAGAAAACAGTTACAATTTAATGTGGGTCAACTCATCAAAATAGCACAGACTGCTTTCTGAAGAAAAGAAAAAAAGCCAAGCAAGAACTTCAATCCAAAGCAGGCATGTATACATAAATAGCAACTCAGAACTGAAGCACCGTAACACTTCTACTACAGCACCATAAAACCACATTATCATAATTGATACTCTTGGTGCTCTCTGGCCCTGAAGTCACATACAGACAAGCAGTAAAAGTTCCAAGCAAGGCGAGCATAGTTGCCTATAAATTTTTTGCAAGTCCTCCAGTGAACCAAGATGGATTTCAATTAAACAACCACATTGTCACACCTCATGCAAAACCCACATAATTTTATCCCAGAAAATTGTATCTACCTTAAAAATTTCATTAACAACTCCTAGTTTTCATAGGTTTTATACAGTAAAAGATATATCTGGGATCCTAAACAACACTGTGGAACAGTGTGCAAGCTGCACGTAATAGAAATGCTAAAACATTCTTTACCAAGAAAAGGTGAAATGCGCTTTTAAAAATACTATCAGGTTAAACCTCTTAAACTAGAAGAAAGATTTGCAACATCTCTATCAGAAACAAAAGGACTTACTTCACAGACATTCAGATTTCAAGTGCTTAAAACAAAAATTAAAACAATTTACCTGAAATTCTGGTATGGTAGACTTTCTGACACCCTTCCTCTTCTTTGTGATAGCTTTTTTAGTTAGCGATTTTTTTCCTTGTAAGATTAAAAGAGAAAAGCTTCATAATGCTGTTTGTTGTACTTAATTAATAAAACCAAGTTATATACAGACTTGAAAGTTAAACTGTAACTAACAGCTTACAGTAAGTCATGTAAACATGATGAATCAGAACTAGGCTCAGTAAAAGCAAACATTAAACAGGTATCTGTGTAGTGCAGTCTTTTGGGGGTGGGGGAAGGAAAAAAAAAAGAAAAAAAAAAGAAGAAAAAAGAAGAAAAGGAATAAACCCACTCCAATTCCAATAACATGGCACCTAAAAATTTCAATCACAAAGGAAACATTTACACCACTCTTCTGAAAGGAGTGAAATCCAGAACTCATGGCACAAACTTAAGAAATATTGCATCTTACCTGCAAGATTTGTTCTGTGACATTGTAAAGCGAATCACACATTAGGATCTGGGATCTCTGTACCATACAGTAAAAAGATACCCTCAAAGCACAAGCAATATCTAGAAATTCCTGACTGAACATGCTGAAGTTACCAATGAAATCAGATTACGGATTTGTTTTTTCTGGCTGCAGCAAAACGTAAGAGTTTTAGAGGAAACCAAACCTTTCTATAATGCAGTTTACACCCATCTGTGCTATATAAGAACATGGATGTACGAAAAAATCCCTTTGAAGGTAAGGCAGGTGCTTTACTACCTACAGTGTCAGAGCTCTGACATCCATGTCTCAAATCAAGTAGTTATGTCACTAACCAGTATACACAAGACAGGAGAGTTTCTTATATGGTTATTTCTACATTCATATGGTAAATTGAAATAAGACCACTTTTAACTTGCTCATTCAGACCAAGACCATCATTCTAACACTACTACTGTGTTCACATTTAGGAGTCTTAAAAAAGAGTTACAGACCTTAAACAAAAAAAGAACTTGAAAAAAAAATCACAAAATGTGGAATTTTTTGTCAACTAGCATAATTACTTGTACTTGGTAATAACACAAGCACAGTGACATTCAATATTTATATTAATTAAAATATTGGAAACTATTGCATTTAGCTTTTTCTTAACACACGTTTTCTTGTGTGGGTAAATGCATAAGTACATTTACATACAACTATTCCTAGGCATTCATTCTATTCTATAGATACCTAGGCATCTATATTTTCAGTTTATTATACTATGAGTTTCATGAACATCTTACCTGACGCTGAAATAAACACACTTAAGGGACAAGGCACAGGGCTTGAAGAATCCAGATCTGAAACTCCACATAAAATCAAACTATATAAAAACCACTAAACCAGCCTAGATTTGAAACTCCCCACACTGAACACATTAAAAAATTTAAAGAATCCTCAATTACTAAAAAGAAACACATATTTCACACTAGAGAAAAAGTGGTAAAACAGAGAAGCATGTTTATTAGAACAACCTAGACATCCTGACAAGGGGCAGATAAGTTACCACTTTTGTTATATACTTAATGGATACAGTTGCACTGAAAACATAATTGCTACTACTGAGAGCACTGCTGTCCACTTACTCAACTAAAGTAGACACTTATAACCTTTCTTGACAAACTGACTCGAAGTCTTGTTTGTTCCTTGTTATAGCCCTGTAAAAAAATGTTATCTGGAAAAAATATGAAAAGATAAAAAACCAGGGCAGCTAGACTGTCTTGCTTCCTTACAAAAAGGAAGATTCGAATATGTTTAAAATGAAATTTCCACTTTACTTGAATATTTTTACATACTTTTCAACAAATGTTTACTTGAATATTTTCAGAGTGCAGTGCAGTATGATTTATGATGCACTGTACTTCAAAAAATAACAGTTAACAGAAATACTCTCTCTCTTTTCCCCGATATATCCTTGTGACAAAGAGATAGAAAACTGTTAGAAATAATTATAAACAATTAAAAACCCAAGGAAGTACTTGCCCATAATCATAAGTAAAGTAATAAAATAAATATAATAGCTTATATTAATTCCTTACCAGATGAAGTAATGTTTTTGACAGCAGCCAGATCTCAGTGACCGTACATTTCAGAGCATACTCGATGTACAAATATATTTAATTGCTGACTAACAGCAATCAGTTAGAAAAACTTAGAAAAATCTAAGATAATAAAAATAAATATTTCTAAAAAGGAATCTTTTTAGCTCACCTATTCAATTCAACACAGCCTGCTCCCTTCCCATCCCCACAGATTCCACCTTTTACTAGCCATATTTTATAAAGCATGTAGAAAGAGTTATACACACAGACAAAATAATACACTAATTTCAGTACAAAAGTTTTCAGAGAGGGAAGGGTAACAGTGGTTCAATAAACTGATTTCCATCTTTAGAGATCTTCAAGTTGCATCTGACCTGGTATCCATCTCAGTTCTGCTCCAAACGAGGAATCAGAGAAGATGACCTCCAGATGTTCCCTCCAAAAAGCATTTCTACAGTGTGTGACTTTTTAAAAAAGTCTGCCTTGCCCAGTATACATATATTAGTAACAAATACATAGGAATCACTAACTCAGGACTCCACTGCTCAGAAGGAAGACAAAGCAGGCAATGCTTTTGTTACCTTTCTCCACTATCAGGTAAGACTGAAATGAGAAAAACACTCTCCATCAAAACAAATAAGGAGTTTCCCAAACTAAACCAAGAAATCCAAAGAAAATCATGATCTTGAAACAGTTGAAGAGACCTTCTCCTTCAACAGCTGGAAGTACACGAAAGCTGTTGTTAGCCCTATCATCCTGAGGCACTAACAGTGGCCTCTCTATCCAGCAATAGCTACATTAAATTATGTTTACTCAGACAAGTGTTTGATAAATATGTTATAAATACTGATAAATAAATACTGATTTATTCTTATTCCTTTTCCATATTGGGTAATACTTGTGATAAAGATGAAAGTTTTACTTCTTTTTTATATAAAGTTCAATTTCAAATGTAGCCAACACTTCTTCTTCAAAAAAAAAAGGGCTTTATTTATTGCCAGAATTATAAAAAAATTACTAGATTAAAAAAAAAAAATCAACTGGTTTGTATTCAAACATACACATCAAAATGATATTGAAAAATATACTTAGTTGCAAATAGCACTGTTCTAAGGAACTGTCAGCCTATACAATTGCTGTGTAACTTTACATTCACTCACAAACAATTTACTGTCCAACAATCACTAATTATGTCTCCCCACTGCCTTTTCCAACAAGCTCCACATTTCAGCTTGTTTTCAGTTCAGAGGAGAAGAGACTGAGACATCCTACACCCGAAATGGAAGTTGTAACTATCGTTCCTTTTCCCCTCCCGCACTGCAGGAGAGGATCAGCTCTTTTTATACCACCTCCAACACTCACAGCTAAGCCACTTCTGATGCCAGAGAGTGGACAATTACAGACGTCCCAGGTCAGATTCTTTTCCTGTGCAGTAAATGAATCAGGACTGTACAACAAATACAGAGTACTTTTCTTTCTCTACCAGAGAATAAAGGGAAAATACACAATCACTTTATTCTTCAAGCAAACCATAACAAAGCTTATCCTAATTTAAATCATAATTCAATTACCTGTGGATATAAACCAAAATTATTTATTGACTTGAAGTAAAATTTCTCCCCAATAACATGTGACCAACCTATGCCTACAGTTGGCAGCATCAGAGCCCAAAAACTCAATTTGCACATTTTCTGACTTTACCTGCTGAAACAAACTACTTGCATATTAAATTGAAACAAGAGCACTGTCAAAATGCATACGCTCTGCAGCAAAGAACAGTGCAGTTGTGTAACATTTTAGCTATCACACCATTGTTCTGTCTGAATGAAAACAAACCTCTCTTGCAGTAGAAATGCAGCAAAACACGTTTTCCACAGTAAACTTACTTAAGCCACCCTGTACTCATCTGCCAAAAAAGCTGAAAACTCTGTTCAGCAGACACAAGCAGCATTCACTTGGATACTGCCTTGTCCATCCAGTGTTTGGTGCTTGAAGGACAATGAGGGCAGAAACCTGTATAGTGAGTATTAGTATAAAGCAGTATCTGAGGTTAGTGAAAGCACTGAAGTGAACACAAAACATGCTATTCCAAGAAAAGCTAATTTCAAAGCAAGTGAACATCACAATAGAAAGCACTGAAATATTTTTATTGTTTAAAACACTTTATTCCAGATTTCATGTATGATTCAGTCTCAAAGTAAAGACAGAGCTTTAAATAATAAGTAAAACTAAACCAAACTAAATGTGTGACATAATTTCTTACATCACTGCTTCTTAATTTAAGAAGCTAATTAATGCCAAATTGATGGTGACCACAATAGGTAAGGCAGAAGAAATATCACTTCCCTGAATCGATACTGTTTTGAGTTAACCTCTAATCTCAACTACAAATCCCAAGAGACTGGATTATTTTATACTTTTGACTGATAGTTAAGAGGTGGGTTTCATTGATTTTCCTTCTCCATGCTTACAATTGTCATCAAGTAATTTTTTAAACAAACTCATTGCTGAAAGTAAAAAACAAATCTAGATCTATAAATCTTTCACATTTATTTTTTTTAAATAACACTACTACTGGAACACTTCTGCTGTAAGTTTCAAAGGAAATCAACATTTTACTAACCAAGAGCCCCTCAGCCAACTCTGTGAAAATTCTTAAATGTTAAATTTAAGTTCAGTAGGTCCAGGAGATGTCTGGCTGCCACAGGTTTTCCTTCCAAGCCAAAACAAATTCCACAGATGTTATTACTGAATAGACGTGTAAGCAACTAACAAGGTAGCACAACAACTAGGACCTGAAAACTAGTCACAAGCATCCAAAAAACACTCTAGGGAGATTAGATACCATCAAAGCATAAGCCTTCTCAAGTTGGTCTTGCCATCTGAGGGTGAAGTAGGGGAAACAAAAAAATTAGAAATTCAGATCTCTTCTAGTACTACTTTAGAAGCATAAAAATGAGACAGACAAAACACTAAGCCACTGGAATTTCTTGACACTCATACATGACTTCAGCAAGAACCTCTAAGTTGTTCTACATTAGAATCCTTTTGACTTGAAAACGGGAATGTTTTTCCAGACCTAGTAAAACTTTTTGTTATAAACTCAGATATTTGAGTCCTTGTGGCTTCCTAAAGTAATATTAATTCATGCTACAAATTATAAAGTGACAACAGAGAGCAATTTTAAATAAAAATTTATTTGAATAATATTTTTTTATAAAAATGGAATTTTTACTGCATATGCACTCAGGTCTTATTACCCCAGATGGGGCAATGGATGTGTTTAACATCAAATACTAACTCCGCAGTATTTGCCACAGTAAAACACAGTTAAGTTAGCCCCTTCCAACTGCAAGAATTTCTGTTTTCGTTGCATTCTAGGAGCAACTCCACTGTTCTCAAATTGAAGAATACGACCTGTGTCTTTCTGTCAACAAATCTGTATGACACATTTCATGCCTTTCAAAGATTTGGTAACTACTGAGGATGTCTTACTTCCTCTTTAAATCTCCTAATCTTCTATCTTGCTCCTTGCTCCCAACAACTCTTCCTTTAGAAAATAAAATATGCTACAATCTGGAAAATGAAGCATCATGATAGGGTTTTGAAGCTTCCATATGCTTTTATATAGTCAAAAGACCAAAACAGGTCTGGACAAGTGCATTAATAATGCTGATTTAAAGAACAATGTAGGGAAACCCTATAAAACCTCAATGGTACACGTTTCTGAAGACACTGAAGCTTAATGAATTGTGTACCTTGTTACAACTTGGTGGAATAGCTCTCAATGTTTTCAACATGATTAACAGGCTGTTCCATATCTAGAGGTTAGACAACTCTACAACAAAGCTTTTACAACACTGAAGATAAAAGACTTCTGAAGATTAAACTCCCAAGGACAGTAAACTGGGCCCTACAAAATTGCTGCCAGGCCTTTTATCTCATTTCTTCACATTCAAGCAACACTTGACTTCATACACAAGAAGTAATGGTACTCTAAAGAAATAAAATATACTGTGAAATGGACTTTGAGCAGTAGAACACTGTGAATTTTTCAGAGTATGAGTATATAATTTACATCAAAGTTCTTCTAAAGTTCTGTGTTGTATTGGTGTTTTTTACACCAACTGCAATATAAAGAGATTCAACTTACTCCAACCTTTCCTTCAGGTACATCACAGTTATTTTTCAAGCAGCCTCTGGTGCCTCCTATTTTCTCAACCCTACAGTTGCTCTGAATTTCATCCAATCCCTGTTTCAAACATGTAATCACAGGATTCTCATGCTTTTGTACTGTGCCTTGCATTGAAACCTTTATTGTACCCCACAATTTACTTCAGCATAGCTGTCTTAGTCTAGATCCAACAAGCCTTATCACCATTGTCAAAGTCCAATTCGAGATGTATAGCCTAATTTATCTAACTCCAGTAACAAAATCACATTTAAAAATGAATGCATAGCATGCAAGTTGTTTACAGAACTGTTCCGATTCTGTATTTCCACTTTATTCAGTACTACTCTGTTAATAATACTCACACAGAACACTGCCACAGTAATAACCATCATCTTCTTTCAAAGACACAGATTCAGTGTTGTGGTTACACCTTTTCATAAATCATAAGAAAACCTTGTCATTATGGCAAAGGTCATAACACGGCTGTGTTCTCCAGTAAGTTTTCCTCACAATAGTTCTGGGAAGTTTTCAGCTAGAAGCCAGGAGTGTGCAAATCATCTCAACAGAAATACAAACTGTGACTCAAAGTTACATTTAGCTGCCTGAGAGAAACAGTAAGCAGGAAAAAAAATAATTTTGTTAAAAAGTAAGGAAAGGTACTCACTTTTACATTCCTGATGCTCTCTTCTACCCACTGCACTGTTTTAAGAATGTTGTAAAGAGTGATTATGGCCAGGATAAGACTTAAATGTCATTGTGAATTCAGGTTTTACCAAATCTCTTTTTCTGTTCTACACTGTAAGGGAATCTTTCAGTGGAAGATTTACATTTCAGCTGATCTTTGACAAATACTACTTAGCCTTAAACATTATGAAACATTACAGAACAACAAGGCATTAGCATGAATTGAAACCAATTGTATCCATTTCAGCCTAACAGGTACAGGATAAACAGACATTTAACAAGCATAGGAAGAATAGCTCTTTCTTGCAACGCTGTACTTCTCCAGCAAGGTCAACTTGCAATGAAGAGGTAGTCAAAATATGATGGAAAATGCCTCAGCATATTAAGACAGTTCTATAAAAAAAAGAGTCCTTATTTGCAATTTGGGTTATTATTCATTTTGTTTGGTTTTAAGAAAAATGAAAACAGTGACACTTTTGGAGAGCTAACAGTTGAGTAAGTGAACGTAAGATACATTAGTTCTGCTGAATGTGACATATATGAACTTCAGCTTCAACTTTTAAAATTTCTGGTGAGATGTGGGCATTGAAATTTTTTGGAAGGAGGAATTTGTGATTTAAATGGTAAGACAGTTCTTTAGGTATTATGCACAAATATTTGAGATCTAAATATTACTTGTTTCCTTAGCTTTAAATTTTAACTTTTAGTAAAATGCACTGGCATCAGATCTTGGAATTTTCTTGCCCTTTAGAAGACACTTTGCTGTTACCCAGATTTTTCATTTTGGCTTTCCACTTTTCAGACGAAATCCAATACTTATCTGTCAGTTTACACTGTTCTGAAAAGTAGCTTGTCACTTTGAAAAATACAATGTTTTAAGCAGTCTGCTAAAATCTAGCACAGATAGCTTAGCCCAGGACTCAACAGAATGAAGCTTTTATGGTGCTTTGTATGCCATCAAAAATACTACAGCTACCTGACAATTTGAACTGACTTAAGGACTTTGAAAACTTCAGTTTTCAAATAGCTTAAAAATTTTCCAGTGAGTTAATTGAAATCTGGATTGTATATCACCTACCTGAAACACTTAGCTAGATGCTGCACAAATCTGTAATAAGAATGCCATCAGCATAAACTCCGCATCCCAGTCGTTGGACTCAGTAATCAGGCCCACAGTTAAAGCAGTACTGTTTGGTGACCTAAGACTGCACAGTTCCGGTATGAATGGCCTTAGATTCACGATCTCATGTAATTACTCTGTGTTTCTTCATAATTTGGATGAGGTCATATTACCAGAAAGGGAAGAAACATTTCTACAACTGCTATAACATAAGACACCATAAAATGACTTCAAGTGACACTCTGATGCTAACCAGTCAATCACATTCATTCTTCTAAATATTTTTTCAACAAACAACCTCTCCAAATGTATTATGTTCTCTAAATTCTGCAAATGAATCATGGTTTAATCAGCTGATGAGCCTGCTTTACATGCTTTATATGGGAAACCGAAATGTCTAATCCAATAAGGTTGTCCTGTTTCACAAAATAAAATACAGACATATCAGCTAAAAATGCAGCTTAAAAAAGAAATCAGTATCCTCCTACTTTTTACTACAGGTAAGAATGTCAACTTACCAGATTTGTGCTTCTTGTGTTTTGCTTTCTTCTTAATTATAAATAACTTGTTCTGGAGTTCAGATTTATAAGATTTGAACGGATGAAGATGAATCTCACGCTTTCTTTGCAGGTCATCAAGTTTTCTCTGTAGATTTTCATTTAGAATATCCTTCAACTTCTTTTTTTTCTTTTTCTTCTTTTTTGCTAGTATCTTATTTAGCTTCTTATTATGACGCAGTGAGTTCTCTAGCACTGTTTCTTTAGCAGATTCATGGTAACTGGTGTCTTGGTTACTATTGTAAGTGCCATTGACATGCACTTGGCAAGCTTTCAGTGTGTTCTCCTTGAATGGGTTCATATCAGATCTTAGTCTGGCCATTTCAGCACAACCTTGTGCATTCTCCCCATCCGTTATTTCTCTTGAACTAGAGTCCCCACCCATACCAACAATCTTTCCTGAAGTAATCAAATTCCTCAAGTTTTCTTTATAACAAACACTTTTCTTGATGTCACAGACTCCTGAGGCTTTGATTTCACAGTTTATCTCCCCTGTAGGGACTCTAAAGGTGCCTAAATGTGGGTTTTTTTCTGGACTGATAATGACAGAGTCCATACTTTTCTCTACTTCTGTCTTGCAATGATGTAGCAGTTCTCTACCAGGAGAACTGACCTCCCCATTGCTTTTGGCTACATATTCATGTTTTATTCTTTCCGATTTAATACGAGGTACTTTTTTAACTTTGATGGGAAGAGATGGGAATTCAGGAGCCTGAAAAGGCTTTTGTTTGTAAATCCGAACATCCGCACCACAGAACTGTGGAAAATGAACATATGCATTCTCCAAGCAGTCATAACCAAGAATTACTTCTCTGCATTCGTGGATAGGCTGACCTAGCACTGCATCCTGAACATCCTTTTGTGTTTCATACACGAAGTCACAGAGACCTTTTAGCAGCCATACTTTTTGGTAGAATGGTAGCTCATGAAATGGTTTTTCCTCCAAGGGATTAACTTCTCCGAGCACTTTGAAAAACTGGGGACACAAGCCAAGTTTTTCTGCAGCGCCATTAGGATTGTCAGTCTGCCCTACAACAGTGTACCAGTGTTGTACTTTCTTTCTCAGTGCTGCTTCCCAAGTCCTGTAAGAAAATGTCGGTCTGCGGTGCAACGTAGATCTGCGATGAGGAGGACTTAACAAAGAAGTCATTATTTTAGACAAAAAAATATTACACTGAGGCATCAGAAGACAGCGTTCCAATTCATAGAATACTATTTCAGGTAAATTTAAAATCTGTTGTGCTAAACAAAGAAAATGACCAATAGCTGGAATCTCCCACATCATCTCCATCCTTGTAGGTGCTGCTTGAGCTAAAAGTGATTTTTCCCATTCTTCTATTTCTTTCTGACTAGCTTCTTCTGCTTCTTTTCTTTCTTGATCTCTCTGCCTATTAAAAGAAAGTTCATGAAAATTCAGATATTGGGTAAACCAAAAAATGAGGGAGAAAAAAAGTCAGAGCTACAGCGCGACAAAGATACTTATCTTGAAGTACTGAAGAGCACAGTGCATAAAGTTTTAGTTTAGTTTCTCTTACTTTGCAGTACACAACACATCACTGGACCAGAATGGGAAATTACAGTCTTTTATAATCTATCTCTAGTTTAAAAATGGAAAAAGGTAAGAAAAAAGCCTGTCATATATCAACAGTCTGTGTGGTTTAGATTTTTGGGGTTTTTAAAATGTATTTCCTTTCCAATCTCTTTTTGTCAGGATTAAGTTTTTCCATCAAATTATCCATATCAAATTCTCTGACATGAATTCCAGTTAAATCTTCCTTTCAAATGGTTGCTCTGTGGCTTGTGTCACGCTCCTTGTGTGCTTCCCTTCCTCAGCACACAAGTGTACATGTCTAAGTGCTTTATCTACTCGTATTTTCCCTCCTAGCCATAGGTGTGCTGGTTTGCAATGGTGGTCAAAAAGGAAACAAGTATTGGGACGCACAAAAAATGTCATGGAAAATAACACCAGAAATAAAATGTCATTACACTAATGAATGGCTTGCCCTCATCTGAAAAAAATGTAATCAGCTCTGGTCCCCCTACCTAAAAAAAGGATAGAGTAGAAATAACGTGTATTCAGAGAAAGAGGTTATCAGTAATCAGAGGTCTGTAAGAAGTTCTGGATAATCTGGGGCTCCACACAAAACACTAGCAAGAGGAAACATGACAGCAATATACAAAGCTAATAAGACAGCCTGAGAACTTCTGTTTACTTTTATTTGGAAACTCATTGTGAAGTTTAAGGGTAACAAGTGTTAGAAGAAGAAATGCTTTCATTTCAGATAATCAAATCACACCTAGCTTTCCATTTAGTTACTAAAATACAGGATATGTTAATTCAGTTCCAAAGAGGAAAACTGGACATCTGCATGAATCAAAGAATATCAAAGGTTACCAGCAACAGAAGGGATTTTTCTCTAATGTTGCAATAGTAAACTAACATTTTTGCCTGAAGGCATGACCAGACTCCAAAAGACAGGATTAAAATACAGCTGTACTTACAGGAAAATTTTTTTAGAGTTCATCCTAAGCTTTTCATATGTTTTTCCCTGAAACTTCTATCAGTGGTAGGAACAATGACCTTCCTACAGCACTAATGTAACCTGTTACTGGAATTTCCATGTCCTTATTTCCAGATTGCTAACCTTCAATTATATTTTTTTCATATACAAGTAGCGAGTAAATGGCATGTATCCATTCAAAGTATCAATGCCTTCAAATTCAGTAAAAGAGTAATAATAAATTAAAATCTTTCTTTTGACAACATGAAGCTAAATAGAGGCTTCTAGCTTGAAGAGAGTGTATTTGAAGTATTAACTATTGTCTAGCTATATCAACAGCATAAAAAATGTCACAAACCCAACTTAGTCTACATTTTAGTATCAGCACAGGAGAAACATAACATGTATATGCAAAATAACATAAAATACAATAAGATTCTACAAATGCTTTATCTTATACAATTAAATTAAATTTCCAGTGAATTATTACCATCATTTGAACAGAACTTTTTAAATACCACATACATTCTTGTGACAGATTCATGTAAAGCATAAAATGTAAAAGTAAACAGATCACTAAATTCTTAACTTCAGTCTCCCAGTGCAGCATTAATTTAATGATGTAAAGGATGGGATATAAAAACAAAGTCCTACTTTGCAGCACAAAATCCTATTTGCCATTCTACGTGACTAAACCGATAAATGCAACTATACTACTTGCATAGGTAAAGTGAGCATTATTTTTATTCTGACTTACGTTCTATTTCAATGTGCTAATAATGCATTGGTATAATAAAGAAGAGAAAATAATAAATAAAAATAACTAATTTATAAGTGAGATAGAGGAAGAAACCATACTAAGTAAAAAATGGTATCAAACATCAATTTCAAAGCACTCTTGGATCCCACTCCTTTCCTCCTACATGTAAAACACACCTCCTAATAACCTGCTGACTCCAAAAGGTATGAACACTATTAGTATGTATGGAAATAAGACCAAATATGAACATGTAGTGAGATAGAACATATGTAGAAACAATAACATTTCAGTATTGTTGAGAAAAACATAAGCTGTAGGTCATCTAAAAATACCATCTTTGCAAACAGTTTCAGTTTATCATCAATTCATAATTTAAATCAAGATAGAATTCTCAAACACAATACCCTAGATTCACTTTAGTCTAGATAAAATGACAATTATTATACTGTTTTAAGAATGTTTTAAAAGGTTCCTTAAAAAGAAAAATATAAATTGTTTCAGTTGCAAAAAGTTTGCCTTTGTTTTTTAAACTCTTGTTTTATCACAGTATCTGTTGTCATTCCATTCTCAGCAGACATTCAAGAGAAAATGTATAAAAAGCACACTTTCATATCTTCATTATTGAGGTGTTCCTGCCAGAATCTTTTGGAGGGCATAGCTTTTTCCTGCAGTGTTTTGGTTTGGGTTTTTTTTGAGAGGATGGAAGGGAATGAAGAGGGGAGAAGGGGGGGGGGGCAAGGGAGCACGGATGGAAGAAGAAATGGGGGTGGTAAGAGAGAGACATTTGCTGTTGGACTGAGAAATTCTCTGGACATACATATTTGGCTTTTACGTTGACAGCAATTGTAAAAAATGCTGTTGTTTCAAACTTTTATTCACATTTACCATGAATATGTTGGCAGACATGTACTGCACTTACAATCATAACAAAACTAATCTAAGTTGAAGCTGACACTTCCAGACTGAGGTCATATTCCCAGAACACATCTGCAGCACTTGTTTTGCAGCTCTTAAGTGGATAAAGCCATGGCATTTGACGTTAAAGCTCAGCAACCGTGATCCCTAGCAGACATAACACCTAAAACAGAGTCCAGATATAACTCCCACTTTTCTTATAATTTTCTCCTTTGAGACAGCAGATATCATAAGCAAACTCCTTCTTGCTTGCAACAAGAGATTTCACTTGGAGGGGAGAGGAGACAATGATTAGATTTTACTTTGTTCCCCCAATTATCATTTCTAACCTACTTAGGTGTTGATTCAGGTAAAAGGTCAGACACTGGAACTCTAATGACAAGATACAGAGAACTGTTTTAATTCTACAGTAACTTGTTTCTACAAACTTTCTTTTAAAAAATTAAATAGAAAGTTATGTACAAATTAGCATTATTACACCTTATTCTAAATTAAGTCAAGGTGTAACACTCAGAGGATATTAAATTGGGAGATGCCCATGTAACCTTAATTCTGTATCTGTAATGGCTTACATCGTATTATAACATACTCTATATTTTTCTCTAGGATCCAGGTTAATTCCATGTTAACATCCTCATAAACAGCAAAACTGACTATATAAACATACCTTATTCCATAATTTGCTAAATTAGATTACTAACTCGCAACCAGAATTGAATTCTTTAAATGTTCTAATGAACATATCTAAAACTTATCCCAGGATCATGTTTTCAGAGATGGTGAAGTTATGCCTAGCATAACTTTCAACAAACCAAGTCATACAGACACTTAATTCCCACTGGAATCAACCAGTTAATTATCTGCCATTCACCAGTGGTTTTAAAAATTTCAGTAGGAATCTACTTCTATGTTTCAGTACCTAACCAGGTATTTCCAATTTAAAAATAATTCCACAATTATTTATTGTTAACTGATATGTAAATTAGTATGTATATTGCTATGCATATGTATATTAGCATGTAACCAAACTCCTAAATAAAAACTCATAGAAATTTTATAAATAATCCAAAGAAGATGGTCAATATTCTGATAATTAGAACAATTGAACAAAAGGAAAGCTTGGGAAAAAGTGCTATTGCTACTGTACAGAAATTATTATCTGCAAAATAATGAAATTTGCTTTGCAATGACATCTCAGTTTCATATGCTGAGTGTACCATGATAAATGTGGAGGAAGTTATACAACACTGAATAAAGAAAAAATGAAACTGATTGTGCAAGAAATGGATAAACTGCAAGAAAAAGAGAACTCTCAACAAAGGACACCCATATAACAAAAACATAGGTAGGATTTGGAGTAGGATTTCCATTAAGCTAACTACAGAAAAGATAAAAATCACACTTCAGGCTGTCCTTCCAAAATATGAAATTGAAAAAAAGTTTGCAAAATCATTGTCAAGGATCTGGGGGGGGGGGGGGAGAGAGGAGAAAGCCCAAACTTTTAAAAGTATTTAATTTACTAATTAAATTTATATTTTATTTTTATATAAAATATACATTATTATATTTATTTGTATATTTTAGTATTTTTAATTTAATTTTAGTTTTATTTAATACTCATTATAAGGCCTGTGCCTTACAAGAATATCTAAATATCTAGAGCAAAGAATTAGATATAAAATTATATTTCAACAGGCAATTTCTTTAGGTATGAAGCTGTTTTGTAGAGAGGCCCTTGCATTTACCGCCTTAGCTATTTGGGACTGAAAGCATGTAACTCCTAGGCATTCTAAACCAAGATAATTACTGGCTAGAAGGTACATGCACGCTGAGGGGTCCACTGGATGGCAGAAAGGGAGCATTTTATTATGTTCCTGACAACTCATCTGAAAGTTGGGTGAACAGCAGATGCTGCCTATCCAAATACAACTGATTTGCCAGCATTGTGCTCTCCAACTGAAACCTCCAAGCCTGCAATCTTGCATTTAATTTTGAAAGTATTCCTTCTGTGCCAACCTCAGTGTATCAGATTTCTAAAAAAAAAGGCAGCATAACCATTTTCTCTTCTTAACAACATAATCTGTACTTTAGCAATAAGCCAAAATAAGTTTAGAAAGTTGAAATATATTTTTTAATAAATATAGTGTCCTTAGTGTTGAAAGTATGTGCATTTATAAATACGACACTTTATATACACTGTATCATGATCTTCACTGGTAATATATAAATAATTTTATAGGTCTTCCAATTTCCAAGCCTTTTTCATAAAATAATACTAAACGGTACTTTTGAAACATTTTTTGTGAGTTGGGAAGCAATTGACAGAGAGAGATCCAAATTACTTTGAAAACATGATGGGATCTACTAGGAAATAAAACTTCAGAAGACATCTGAAGCATAATTATTTGAGTAGCTCAACAGAGTCAAAGAAATATTCAACCAGCTACCTAGTGATAGAGTTTTATTGCTTTGCAGTAAGTGGTATAGCTCAACATTTTAGGGCGTAAAAAGGCAAGCTTGTTGTGATCTTATCATAGAATTTTCTGCAGAACCAAGCACTGTGGAGTATCATTTGCACAGGATCCGGGACTTCTGAGTATATCCAGATACATGGATTTAACTGTTAATTAATACAGTTTTACAGGAATGAGCTTGAAACACGTGTATGAAAGCCAAATTCTTACTTTGTCTGGTAAAATGTTCTACAGACTCTATGGATGAACTAAAATACAATCAAAATGTCCTTTTTCATAACAGTTTTACCAAGTTCTGAGTTCTAGAACACAGAGTTGAGCAAAAATCAAGAGACTTTTACCAGAGACACAATAACACTAGTGATCTTTGCTTTTCTTTCTTTTTGTGAAGTGTGATTAGAAAATGAGTGCATTAGAAAAAAGATTCACTCTTTTCTAGGGAAAAAGTACTGTCTAACAGCAAAGTCAGCCAAATAGCTTCAAATCTGTTGAAAATCAACATTACCTGCAAAATTAGAGTGAACTGGTTACATATGGAAAGAAGTCTCCAAAGCTTTGAAAAAAGCTAGAAACATTTTGCTTCCTAAAGCAAATGCTGTCTTTCCAGCATGCTCCACCTTCAGACACAGTCACTCAAGTTACTATTAAAATATACAAGCTTATAAGCTTCTTTTTCCTCAAAGTGAAACATACTAGCATTAAACATTGCCTGTAATGATATACCTCAAAATCCCACAGATTTTAATTATACACACATTCTAAATGCATTACCTAACTGACAAGCTGGAATGCCACATCAGGGAGTTAACAGCAGTGGCACTGGCAGAGATAATTTGCTTCTGGCTATCAATAAGGGAAGCAGTGACAAGATCACAGAATTAGATTCTAGTTAAGTATTCTGGCAGTTTTTAATCTAATTCTTGCATGAAAAACAGTCCAAGGACAGGGGTGATAACCTGCGAATGAGCTAACAGGAAATTGCTGTGGATGTTTTTAATTACTCTTAAAAGTTTCACAATCCTAAAATAAAAGCAGCTATAATTTAATGTAGTGACTTCTTCATTATGTGGTGAATTCTATGACTTCAGCAATTTTTCCTGAAGGTGGTACTAACATTTTGCTTTGTGGATATAGTGTACTGAAGTCACGAACTTAAGACCACAAGAGCCCCACAATAGTTATTTACCTAAAAAAGCTATAAGGAGCTAGCTCCTGTAGAGAACTAGGAAGACATAATTACTTAAAACTAAAACAAAACGGTTTTTCCTATTACCTCTTTTCCTCTTTTGCTCTCAGCTGCTCCTCTTGTCTTAGAACCTGAACCATCACAGACTCAAACATGCCTGTTGACAAGCCTACTAAACTGCGAGGTGTGGAACGACGTCTTGTGGAAATGCATGCTGTTCCTTTCTCATCTTCCTGCCCATAGCATCCTCTAGATGTGACAGCTAATGATGTTTTCTCTCTTAAATGCCTAGAAGAAAAAAGCAAGCCAATTCACAACTATGACTGTCCTTACCAGTGGTACTTCAATGCCTTCCCTACCAACCATGGATCAAGCACATTTACTGAGACAAAAGCAGTTATGTTTTCAACTGCCATTTTTTCCACTTTACAAGTTCCTTTATGAAATTTTAAACCCAACATGCTAATATGCCCTGTGTTTTCACATCAGTTAAAAATGGTGGACCTTCACCTCAAATAACCAAATACTATTTGGAGACTGAATTCTCTATATTAATCCATAAATATCTGGCGGGGGGGGAAAGGTGTTTTCATTGGTTTAGGTTGGAGAAGTGTGTGTTAAACACCAGTTTAGTTCTGTTTAAAACTACAAAAGATGAAAGGCAAAACAGTACAAATTTGGCTGCAAAGTTTCATTTCATCCTACATTGTTTCAAAATACTCCATTGAAACTGGGACCAGTTATTCACAACATCTGAGAACATTTAAGGGGACAGAGGGGAAAAATCCAAACCCCATTCAAAAGTAATCTCCACTCTAAGATAATTTCCTGTGGCTTGTAGTATCTGAGAATTAGACAACCAACACTGATTGATTTCCTTGAACCACTTGAAGGGGATCATTGACCTAAACATTGCTCTGTAATAATGCAAGAATGATTACTCCAGAAAGTAGTACTTCAATTTTATTTTACTTATAAAATTAGGTCTGATAAACACTTAAAACAAATTTGTCTGATCAAAAATTATAAAAGATTTTTGAGACTTCTAGATTCCATAATCCTTTCTCTATATAGTTCTTAGAAACTTTTACTAAGCAAGTGCACACAGACATATTGAATACATCTTTACAAATCTCTGAAGAGTTAATACAAGAGAAATTCACTGTGTATTGAGGTAGGATTATTTTTAGTTTAGTATTTCCTAATATTTATTTGAAAAAGGCTCTGCATTTCTGAAAGAATTACATGGGCAATTGATTTTTTTTTTTAGTAAATACATATATTGCTATTTGATGGCACAGTGCATAAACTGACTTCACTTTCTAACATAATTTCTAACAAAACAGCATTGAGCATTCTCAGGTCCTACCAAATAAAATGAGTAGTCACTTCATTCAACAAAACGCCCCTTAATTCAATACAGCAGAGATGCTACAGTCACACAACATACAGTAATGAACACAGCACAGATTTTCCAAGCTGCATTTGGTTATTTATTTGCCAGCATATAAGCCAGGAGCTCTGATTTTTTTTTTAAACCAAGTTTTACTCAAGCAAACTAGCAACATGCAAGCCCCATTAGGTTTGGCTCCTTCCCTTCTTGCAAACTGTCCCAAAATTGCCGTTACACAGAAATAGTTTCAAATATACTGTTACTACAGCAGAATGCATAGGTTCACTCCAGTTTCAGCTGAGTTCTGCACCACACTCCTCAAGTGTTCCTACTACACAAGCAAGGTTCTTCTTACCAGCTGGCAGCTCATGTTCTGTGTCACTAACAAGCTGAAAGCTGATGGACATGCACAGATTTACAAACGTCCCAATACTGTTCCTTCTTCATCTTCACCCTTAGCCAAAGTAAATTTCTGGATTTTACACGCAAAATACTATGTCATTCAGGAGACTGGTGGGCCTTTCATTGTAAGAAGCCACCATGAGTTTCTGATAATGACTGAACTATGCCTATGACAAACTCATGAGAAAGCATTTACTTCAGTCGTGATTTAAACTGGCCTTTCTACCAGATAGGTCAACATCTTTCTATGTTTCAGCTGTTTTGGCTGATAAACAAGTTTCTGCCGAGGACTTATATTTAAACTTACCACAATTTCCATTTTGCCATTTAAGACTACAGTATTCCATGCACTGTCTCTCATTTTATGAGTATCAAAAATCATGCCATTTCAAAGCAGGTACCTTTGGCTCAAGATTTTACTCCTACTTATTTTGAAGACAGTAAAAATTTCACAGATTGCTCAAAAACAATTTAAAAAAGCCAGATATTCATACAAAGTTTAGGCAGTTTTACGATAAATAAAGAAGCATTTGACATCTTGCATAAACACGTATGCCTCCCTGTTCACAAAAGGCTTCTTTCAGGAGGAAAATCTTAGCCAGGAAATGCTGTGCTCTGTTTGGCATTTTGGTTTGGAATTATTTTTGGAATATTCAGGTTTGGTATTTCCAAAGAGTTTTGAATTAGAATTTGAATAGATCGTAGTAGGAAACGTTCCTCACATGAAAGTATTGAGAGTTCCAGTGTTCTGTAGTGGGGCTTTGTTTGGTTTGGATTGATGTTTGTTCTCTTTTAATGAAATTTTTCACACAAAGAAACACACCCCCCTGTTCTACTTTATGTAAACAACATGCGGCAGGGCACCTATAGACTTTTCTACACATACCGGGACAGCAGCGCCAACTTCTGTTCCAGCATCATCTCCAGCTTCTGGGCCTGTTTGGAGAGCCAGTGATCCACACCGTGCAGTCGGTAGCAAGTCTCCAGCATGAGCCGGAAGTCACATACGAAATCTGCTATCCCTGTGTACTGCCCGCTGGAAAATTTCTCTTCCATCTTCAACAGCCATATTCCAGTTGGCAGCTGCTGGAGGGACTGGCCGCTGTTACGGCCCGAGGGGGAGCCGGCGCCTTCTTCTCCGAAGGATGCCTGATCCGCGAGGGGCTCCAGGAACGGCGCCGTCAGAGGCCGGTACTTCTCCAGCAGGAACTCGCGCAGGATTCGGTATCCTTGCTGCAGCTCGGGACTCAGGCTCTGCTGCCAGGCAGTCTTCCCTCCGGCAGTATCTTCCTCCTTGTCGGGCTCCTCCATCCCGCTCCGAAGGGCGGTGGGCCGATCGCCCGGGAGCTCTCCGCCGGAATCCGCGTCTCCCGCCCCGGGCCGGCCCCTCGGCACCGCCCGGGCACCGCGGCGCTGCCCCTCACCCGGCCGCCGCATCCGCACGGGGCTCACCTGCGGACACTGCCCCAGCTCAGCACCCGGCACGGCCCCGGCCCTGCCCCCGCTCCGGGGGGCGGGACGCGCCCGTCGCGGGACAAGCACCGCCCGGGCCTGCTCGCGGCCCCGCCCGCCCGGGGACCGCGCCCTCGCCCTCAGGGCCCGCCCCCTCCCTGCCGCCGCCGCCGCGAGCGGGGGCTCCGCCGCATCCCGGTCCGCGCGCGCAGTTCCTTCTCCCGCTGCCGAGGGGCAGCGCGCGTGCCGACCCGCGCGGGCAGCAGGCGGCGGCGCGAGGGCGCGGGGCGGGGAGGGAGGACGCGGCGCCGCTCGCCACAGCGCGCATGCGCGCGGCCAGCCGCGGCGGCTGCGGGGCCGAGCGAGGGCTGTCGGACGCCGGGCGAGACGTGGCGTCATCAGAGGGCGCCGGGCGCGGCGCGGGGGGGCGCTGGCGGCTGTTGGGCGCGCGCTGAGGGGGAGGAGCCACCCTCAGAGTGGGGGGGGGATTGATCCCCAGCGCTCTGTGCTGCCCTCGGCGCCGGGTGATCCTCTCAGGGCGCTCAGATAGCCGCTTTGTAACCAGATGGCACAGGTGTTCCGTCACTGGCTCTCAGCCGTGGAAGCGGGACGGCAGCTCACAAAAGCTCTCGGTTCTACGCTCGGTCCTGTCTGACTTGCCTTAGGAGTTGGTGCCTCTGAGGGAAGGCTGCTCCGCACGGCGCTGACCTGCCCTGGGTGGTGGGGGGGGGGGGCACTTGCAGCCCTTCCAGGTTTGCCCTCAAGCGCCCTCCAGTCCCGCTCACCGCTGCACAACATCGCAAGGGACATCCCCCCGGCGGCAGGGAGCTCCACAGTAGCAGCGGTCTCTGTAGTGGTACAAGGCAACTGGGAGACAGTTACTGTGTGTGCGGTTTCAGTTTTTTCCTCTCCGCATACGTAACTACAAAAAGCACCCTGCTGAGAGAGAATTAATGTAAGGGGGCAGGAAAAAAATGATGTTTTCCTTGATCAAACCTCTACTTGTTAGGGGCATTCTTGTCCATTCTCACAGAATCACTGAACGGTTCGGGTTGGAGGGGTCCACAGAGGCACATCAGGTTCAACCTCGCTGCTCAAGTAGGGTCATCCCAGAGCACATTGCCTGGGGTTGTGTTCAGATGGTTCAGGAATATCTGTAGTGAGGGAGACTCCACAGCCTCTCTCGGCAATCTGTTCCAGTGCACACTCACCCACAAAGTAAAGAAGTTCTTCATCAAGTTCAAGTGGAACTTCTGTGCATCAGTTTCTGCCCATTGCCTCTTGTCCTATTGCTTGATACCACCGAGAAGAGCCTGGCTCTGTCCTCTTGGCACCCTCCCTTTAGATATTTATACAAACATTCTGCAAGGTAATGTTCTGCAGAGATCACTCCAGAGACCTTGCTCATAGTGGAGTTCTCTTGATGAGAGTAAATCAGAATTTAGAACATAAAGAAATCAAGAACCACTCTCCTGTTGTTACTGTGTTTTCTCATTCTAAGGACACCAGGAAGTCTCTGTCCCTTAAATTCTCGTTAGGTCAGAGCCAGCTTTCAGAAATGCTTCTGTTAAGGTGATTTTGCGGAAGGGCCCTAAGCAGAGGCCGCGAGTATGGTACTCCAGCCACAGTGCTTCCCCTGGAGGCTGTGCCTATGGGACAAAGGCTGTGCCTTTGGCACCCCCTCTAGCCCCATTTTCCAACATCAGACTGCAAAGCCCAGGTAACAGCTATGCTCGAAGTTTGACCCCCAAAGTCCTGACATCTCTCCTGATCACTCACTGATGTTACAGGTACCTGTTTTTATTCTTCAAAGCCTCCTCTAGAATTGTAGACTCCATAGAAATTAGGTCAGACACCACAGTGTGCAGACAGGGTGTTGCGCTGGAGCACAGGCTGCAGTGTGCCTCCACACTGGTGGGCTTGGAAGGGCCATTGTGCTTTGAGACTGTAGTGTCCACACAATAGTTAACCCAGGTGCAGCCATGTACAGAATGACCTTCAGGCCTATGTTGTGCTGGGCATATCCCATGGTCATAGGATAAACTCAGCCAGCGCACTGTTAAAGGAGCTACGGGAAGCTCCCATGTTGTACTGGCACATCCGTGACTTTGCTTCTATCTAAAATTGCAGCAAGAAGTCCTTATGCAAACATTCTTTCTGTTTGACTGTAGAAATAATAAATAAAGTTGCTTTATTTTAAGAAAATCCTCTAATAGCTTGAATGACCACAATGGGGTAATGGCCATTCTTCGCGAGCGAAGATCCGGGGAAGGTCTTTACACCTTCCAGCCTGCGCATTGGATTTTTTAGGTGAGATACAGTGTGCGCGGAACTGAGCCCACCCTTTAATCCTAAGGTTCATCTGCCGGGGCCAAGCGAGCTTGGACGGTGGCAGCGAGGTCCTTAGGACGTAGGTGGACTGCCTTTTTAAGGGCTAACGAGCTCCATCTGCCCGGGAGTGGCCCTGACTGGGAATCGAACCCGGGCCTCGGCGGTGACAACACTGCGCCCTTACCACTAGACCACCAGGGGCTCCACCACAATGGGGTAGTCCTTCTACAAACGGAGTCTTTGTGATGTGCCCTTATTAGAGACCCATTTGATGCTTCACTGCACATCATTGTGAAGTCTGAAATGCTGTAGGATAACAGTTCTCTATTTCCTTGTGGTGTTGACTCTAAAAAATTGCATTTGGAATGATACTTTGCAGGCAGAGGCTGAATTTCCTTCTTGTACTGGACCATAAGGACCAGCATGTCCTGATGGAAAACAGAGAATGCTTTGATGTGTTTTCTTTAATAACTTATCTCAGGAATAGTGTTCATCTTGTCTAGGTCCCATTCCAAGATGAAGGTGAAGAGTCTTCACCAGAGGGACAGAAGTTGTGGAGGGAGTCTTGCAAGATGTGTGGAGATTAAATGAACTGTAGAAAAAGCATAATTGAAGATAACAGAAAAGAAGCCATTCAAGTTACAGTGAGAATTTCTATTATAAATTAAATAAAACTAGATTAAGATGTCAGGTCTTTTAGAACTTTCATGCCTTTTGGATGCTTGGCCCTCAAGTCTCACTTTTTGGTACTTTTGGGTCATAGAAAAATTGAACAGACTCTTAGATCTCTTCCAACAGGGCATTCTAGCAGTGGCTTCCCTCTTTTCTTCAATCCTTGGTCTAATAACATGAAAGGCACAAGTCTTCACAGTTCTTGAGATCAGGCCTCCACTGGATTAAGAAAGGTCACCTCTCCAGTAATCTTCAAACTAGGGCATTTCTTCATTCAAGACTGAATATCCTTCTCCTATATTCTAGCCACACTGAAATGTCCTTGCTTGCAACCTCACGGCTGTGGGACCTACTGGCAGGCAGACACTGTAAGAAATCTGTTAGCCATGGGACATAGCAGAACAGAAGGCTTACCAAGTGTAGCGGGTTACAGGGGGCCACAGCTCTGAGTCCCTCCCACGGGAGACAGTCCTTGATGGACCTCTCCAACGGGAGTCCATCCCTTGGGCAGCAGTTCTGCCCAAACTGCTGTCCCGTGGGTCACTCCTCCATGGGGTGAAGTCCTTCAGGGATGATATGTACCAATGTAAGTCACCCACAGGGCCACAAGTCCTACCTGGGAAAAACCTGCTCCAGCATTGGTTTCCCTCTCCACGGGCCACAGGTCTCATGCAGGACCCCTCTCCATCCTGGGCCTCCCACGGGGTCACAGCCTCCTTCATGCATCCATCTACTCCAACATGGGCTCCTCCATGGGCTGCAGGGGGGTCTCTGCACCCTGATGGTCCTCCATGGGCTGCAGGGGCCTGAGCTCTGAGTCCTTCTCCTGCTCCCCAGCGGTCCCTCCTCCCCCTCCTTCTGCACTGACCTTGGTGTCTATGTTGTTATCCCATGTTCTCACTGGCTGGAGTTTCTTCTGCACAACGCTCCTCTATCCTTAAATATGTTATCACAGAGGTGTTACTATCACTCTTAATTGACTTGGCCTTGGCCAGCAGCAGAAGCTCATCCTGGAGCTGGCTGGCATTGGCTCCGTAGGACAGTGGAAGTTTCTAGCAGCTTCTAACAGAAGCCAACCCTGCAGGCCCCCCTGCTACCAAAACCCAGCCACAGAAACCCAGGACACCAAGATTCTAGGCAATCTTTCTAACCATTTCAGTTAAACCAAAGATGTACTGTCAGAAAGGGAATTAAAAGTCCAGTTCTTCTGGCATAAATACAGTGGTACTGCATCTCTTCTTAGAGAGCACCCTGCCCTGCATGCCTTGCTGTAGCTTTCTGATCCCTGACACTTCTATTATGCCTATCTACAACTGCTTGTGATTGCCCAAAATGTGGAAAGTGTGCTCCAAGGGGCTTTTTTCTTCCTGAAATACAACTTCACAAATACTAGAAATGGCAACAGTAAAACTAATTTGACTTTTGTCAGCTAACTAGGTACCATCTCTCCAGATTCCTCAAAGCTGTCAATGTGCCTGGTGTGATTTCTTTGAGATAACTATCTTTTTAATGAAAGAAAAATTATTTATAGTCTCTGAAATACACAGCTTTATCATGAGGAGAGAATGTATAATGAAGTACCAAACCAGTATCTGTTTTCCACTTTTTTTTTTATTCCAAAAAGTTAGAATTTTAGATAAGTGCTCATCCTTTGAAAGTGTTTTGTAGGTCTCCCCTGTGAGCCATGTCTGAGATAACATGGAAGGCTTTATTATATGCTGCATATCTAAATAAATAAATCCACTTGCTTTCAATGTATGTCCAGCTTTCAGCTCCAAATTTTTGTATTTTTTTAAGAAAGGCTTGTTTGCCTGGAAGGTCATTTATACTTTCTTCAACGATATCAGGTTGCATAATTAAAGTTATTACTTCTTGCTATATATCTGGCCTTGCTTTGAGCATATGAGAACTTGCAGTCATAATTCTGCATAGAATTCATACGCTAGGAGCTGAGGAGCCACAAAATGTGATGTTCAGAAATTTTGGTGTGATAACATCTCAGCTCTATTCAGATCTGCCACAGAGAACAGAACTTTTGTTCTCTGTTGGTGAAAAAAATTAAGATATCAAGAAATTTAAATT